TAATTTTTCACTTAGCAGAATTATCTAAGGTAAAGTTATTTACTATGGTCTACAACTTTACTTCTACCTTGCCTCACGAGAAGAGCAATTCTATGCTAACTGCCTGAAACTCCACAGAGGAGAAAAGGAGATGGCCCTTTCAGCAAGTAAAAGTAATCATGTGCACAGATATTTTAACAAGTTATATGCTCCATGTGGTTGACACAGAGCATAAACACAGAGTTATATGCTCTGTGTTTTCAAAGATTAAATTCTTGAGACAAGTTAGCTATTCCCTTTTATGAGTGGTGGTGGTAGAATAGAATATTCAAAAGCAGTCGAGCTCAATGTGCATGAGTCCACAATCATTTAGAAATTTCTAATTTTTTTCTCCGATGCCTTGTTTTCCAAAGAATTCTGACTGCTACCTCACAGACCTCTTGGTTTTATTCTGCTCCTCTTATATAATTATTATGTTTAAAAATCAGCCATTTGACATCCACTGAGTATAGAAATACATATTGACACCACATCTGTTTTTTTCTTCACATTCCTGTATGCTTTAACATGTATCTTGAGTAGAAAAAAATGAACATTCAAAGAAGAAAAGAACATGACCTCACTATTTAGAAACCAATAATCAAGCTGGTTACCCTCCAGTATTTTAAAGTTGAATAAGAGTGAAGCGGATGCTAGGAAAAACTGTAGTGAAACTACTGTAAGGCAAATGCATTTTAACCAAGAATAGTTGAATGTATTGTACTGAATGGCTTTACTGAATTTTGCTGTGGCCCCTACAAGATTCACATGCTTTGGTCTTACAAACACACAGTGAAGCTAGTACTATTATTTTATTCTTACCATGTGCATCAGATGGCTGAGGTTTTGAGAGATGAGTAACTTGTCCAAAGTCACAGAGCTAGTAATAGAAAATCTAGGTTTCTACATGAAGAATCTGACTCAAGAACCCATGATGTAAAATAAGTAAAATAATATAAAATCATATCAAATCAATTTAAAAATGGACAGAAGAACTGAATAGATATTTCTCCAAAGAAGACATACAAATAGCCAACAGGTACATGAAAAAGTGCTCAATATCATTAATCCTCAGGAGGCAAATGCAAATCAAAACCACAATGAGGTATCACCTCATGCCTGTTAGAATGGCTATCATCAAAAAGACAAGAAATACAAGTGTTGGTGAGGAGATGGAGAAAAGGGAACCTTATGCAGTGTTGGTAGGAATGTTAATTGGTTCAGCCACTATGGAAAACAGTATAGAGGCTCCTCAGAAATTTAAAAAAAAAAAGGAAAGAAAGAAAGAAAGAAATAGAACTACCAAATGATCCAGCAATCTCACTTTGGGGTATATATCCAAAGAAACTTTTCATTTTATTTGAAAATGGCATCAGGGTATCAGAAATATCTGCATACCCATATTCATTGCAGTATTTTTCACAGTAGCCAAGATATGGAAACAACCTAAGTGTCTGTCAAGGGATGAATGGATAAAGATGTGGTATATACATACAGTGGTATATTATTCAGTCCTGAGAAAGAAGGAAATCTTGCTATTTGCAACAGGAATGGACCTTAAGGGCATTATTCTAAGTGAAATAAGCCAGAGAAAGACAAATACTGCATGATATCACTTATATGAGGAATTTAAAAGTTAAAAAAAAAAAAATCAAAGAGAAACCAAGTAGAGAAGTGGTTGCCAAGGGCCAAGGGTAAGGGAAATAGAAAGCGGTTGATAAAAAGAAAAAAATCAAAAAAACAAACCCATGCTTTTAATTAAGTAAATGTGCATCTAATATCATAGTGATTATAAATATTTTTTTAACTCAGCCCCATTCTCCCATGTGAAGAATTGTCTCCTTAAATTATTTGTATGTGGCATTCAACTTCCCATCACAGGATTCAGTGACCCGTTTTGGTCAGATACAGGGTATAGTTCAACTTATTTTATAGTGGCTCAGACCACCTAAACTTGCAAAGCTGACATTCTATACACAGAAGACCAGATGGAATTTCAACGCTTGCCGTGACATAGAGGTGCCTTGCTTTAAAGGACCTAGACATTTTCAGAAGATCAGCCAGCAGTTGGTTTGAACTAGAATAGAAAGAGTATTCTTTCACTCATTTCACATTCAGATTGACAATTGCTAACTCAAGCTTGAAAAGAAGGAATTTGGCTGGTTAAATTAATATTGAGCAAATCATTTACATTTTAACTTCCATGTTGCATCCTTTCAATTTTCACAGTGTATTTATATATTTCTTAATGAACACACACTTTGGAGAATATGAGCAGTTCACCAAGCTTAAAATGAGGTTAGATCGTCTAATAAGATTTTTAAAATAGCAGATTTTAAATTGTTTTGACAATTCTGTAGTTTAAATTAATTTTACCTGAGACTTACGTTGCTTTTAAACTTTATTTTCAATTTAGATATTTATGCTAACAATGTTTTCAGTATTTACCACAATAAAGTGGTCTTCAATTCAAAATATATTTTTCCTCAAAAAGCATAATTATTCCTGAAGAGACTGAAGAAACTCAGATGAAAAAGTTTTTATGAGATATTATTACAGATTTCAACCATTTATTTTATGGCATAATTAACTTCTGCCCATGTCTCAACGTTGAGTCATGAAACTGAGAATAAATATAAGACCTACTAAATATTTTCATTAAAAAAAAAGATTTCACATGTTTTCTACCAAAATACATTTTCATAATATTTTGTTGTCAAATTTTTTGCAAGTTATGCAAATGAAATTATAAGTATCTATTAATTGTAGATAACTGAATATAACACCTTATTATACGAAAAAAAGGAGATAAAACTGCTGTGAAATTTGAATGCAAAATTTATTGTTTTGCTGTCATCTAGTGGTTGTAAGGTATACAATATAAATGCTATATGATAAATTAATATTTTCATTTTCTATGCAGATCGTGGCATTGGCTTTTCAAATATAAACATTAGGCTGTGCTACAAATACAAATACCAAGCATCACCGTAATTTTTCTGGTCTGACAGACCTAAATTTACTATTATTCTTCAAGATGTATTTGTTAACATATTGGTTGTACAATATCAGATAGTAAAAATTATCATTCTTACATAAAACCAAACAAGTCTTTTAGACAAAGTATTTCGGGAATAAACAAGCACTACTGCAAATAACACTTTTTTGTGCAAGATACGTTAATTATTCTAGCTTCGTAATTTTATGGGCTGTTTTGGTGTACACTCGATAAAAACTAGCAAATATCATTTATCACCTTATCCTAGAAATTCTGCCTATGGCTGTTTCACATTTTTTAGACAGATGAAGATTGAGACTTTCACAAAGTCACCCAGCCTTAAGAACATATTAGATCAGAGACTAGAAATTTCATAGATTCAAAATGTAAAATTATATTAAGTGCTCTCTTCTAATATACTATACATTTAGTGGAATAATCACAAAGAAAAACAATAATCTAGAAATTTTCCACAAGCTGTATAAAGTGGGAGGGGACATCTAGCCTATTCCTTAGTCAAACAAAAGAAACATTAGAAGAGGCTATATTACAGTTTAGTATACCATAAAAGAGACATTTCAGATAAGCAGAAAATAATTATTTTCAATAAATTTATAGGAAAAAAATTTAATCTTTAAAGAAAATAAATTTAAATACCTACTAAAACAATTTTCAATAAATCAAAAAATTAAATGCAGAGCAAAAAGATAATTAAAAAATCTAAAATGTAAGTTACATCTAGAACTGGAGAAATAGAAGCAAAAGAGCAGTTGGAAAGAAAAATTATCAAGGAAAATATTGTGGAGTTAAAAACATAAATATTGAAATTTCTATATGCCCAAATGTTCTATAAACAAATTAGATGGCAATCACAATCTAGGAAAACATTCCAAAAATAAAAAAAAAGAAAGGTAAAAAAATAATAAGATTCCAATGAAAAGTCCGACAAAGAACATGAGAAACAGGAAAAAAGTAAAAAGTCAATAAACATATGAAACAAATGTCTAACTTTTCTAGTAATCAAGAAATACAAAAGTATTCATTTTTGCCTTTTTGTCTGTCAAATTAAAAAAAAGACATCTGGTATTCTACTATTAAGGTGCAGTAGAATATCATTTTTCTATATTAGTTTGGCAGTGTAAGTACCATTTGACCTAATAATACTACTGTTATGGATCCATCCTAAGGATAGACTATTATACAGGTCAAAGTTGTTTACTATGATATTCACCAAAGTATTATATATTATGAGGAACAACCTTTAAGGTAAATTTTAATTATGATACTTCTTTACAATAAAATATTATGAACTCATTCTACATTATGATTTCAAATAATACTTAATGAATTTGAAGACTGTATGTACAGAAATGCTCATGACATTATGTAACTAAAAATATAAAATTTTATATTCATAGTATGGTGTGACTTTTATTTTTAAGCATTCATAAATAGTTATACATTCAAAGAAAAATAGTATTTCATAAAAATTAAATTAAATTAAGTTTAATTTAATCTGGGTGGAAATCCATGAAATTTCATGTTAGTTATGACCCAAAGATAAAATTTAGGTAATTTTTTAAAATTTTTATTCATGTATTTCCATATTTTCCAGATTTCCATATTGTATATTGATTACTTTTATAATTGAACAACTTAACAGTTTTTTTAAGTAGAGATGTTGGTGGAGTCAAGGAAAATGTTTAACAAGAATAGCACACAGAGGCAAAAGAGAATGACTTAGTTAAACATAACCAATCTGAAAACTTAACTGGCTTCTAATGAGCCAAAAAAATATATTATATAATTTTCTGTGCTTTTCTGAATTATTTGAATCTTTCACCTTTTTTTAATTTTTAAGGCAAGAAAAGAATATTTTAATGCCAGGTTGCTGGCTGTGTTCATATGAGGCAAACAATGATCTTTTGAATGTAAAATATTGGGAATTTAAATCTATCCCTTTTCTCTTGAATACATATAAAGGATTTGGAAAAGTTAACCTGTGAATATTTCTCCTTAGCTCTCAAATTTAAATCTGCTTGAGTTTTAGTTTTCTATCATCTATACTTCTAACATCATGTTGACATTCTTTAAGATCAAAAATAGCAGATGCAGTGGGGCTGGATATTTAAATATATAAATATTTTAAGAGAGAGAACATCCCTGATATCCTCTAAGGTCCTCCAACTGCAGGAATCTCTAGATTTCCTTGTCATCAGCAGTGCTATTTACTTGAATCATATTCCTTCCTATTTAGCCATGCCTACTGATATTAGAGGGCTCATAAGATCCAGAGAAGAAAAAAACCTCATGAGCCAGACTTGTCTCCATGACAACAACAACAACAAAACAATAATAAGTTCAGAAACTACCCGTTTTGCTACCAAGCAAATAGCGCAGAAAATAAATTAGGCTGTAATAAAGTAGTTTCATTAGCTGAAGTGGGAACCAATTTTCCATAAGACATCTTCACTGTTGTATAGACATGGCCAGGGAGTCCAAATTTAAAAAACAGTGAAGAAACATTTGATAACTGCAGCAATAACACAGTAATAGCACATACCTACTTCCAATTTTCTCCACACAAACATGCGACAAACTTCTACTAGATTAAGTGTCTTGAATTGGCAGACTTGTTTATACTTGGAACAATCACACATAAAATAATGTATACAACATGCTGACAGCACACATTAAGTGTGATTATTGCTATTATTCTTTAAGCTGTACACACATTAATAGCATTTCCTTAACTTATCTTCTAGCAAAGGAGGCTCTTCATCAAAATTGTCACTGTAAGGAGATTGTGAATAATACTCCAGGTTGGATCCTGGCTGAAAAAATTGTCCGGCGTAACCTGATGGCATGAGCATCTCTGGTGGGACAAAGGCAGGCTGAGGCTGCTCACTGGCTTGTTGTCTAGAGAAATGAAAATACTGGTATTTATACACCTAGGAAAGGGATAGTATGACAAATCAAGGAAGGAAACTACAATTTTTCTGTCATTGATTATCTTGGATTATATATTTAGGCATGAAAGAAATAACTCACTTAAAGTTTAACTTAATCAAAAAGTGAAGTCACAGGTCATAAAAAGATCTCTAGAATGATCCATACCAATTAATATTTACTGATTATGTACAATGTGCTAAACACTTTTTCTTACATTTTCTCATGTAATTAAAACTCAGGAAGGTAAAAACTATACTTTTAGTCCCATTTTACAGAAAAAATAAAGGTTTTTAGAGACCGAATGTTTTGCCCAATATCACAGACTAGTGCAGGTGTTGGATTCTGAACTGAAGGTGTCTGAGCAGCACTTTGCTTCTTACACAATGTTGCTTTTTCACTGACTTTCAGAGGCAATAAACAAATATTTTATTTATTTATAAGGTCCTTATAAATATGGAAAAGTAGCAAGTGAAAATTACAATTTTAATAGTATAGTCAACTTATAGAAAAAAAAAATACATAAACTGACTGTTGTCCATAAAGAAATAGACTTTCTAGTCTGGCCACTCTCAGTCAATTATTGCCAATTGAATTATCTTTGAGTATCTAACTAAAAGTATTTCATAGCTGGCTTTAGTGTCCCTCTTTCAAAATATGCAATTTAGTTTTGTTTAAACATGTTGTTTTTATACTTCCTTGTCCATTCTTTTCTTTTTTATTTCACCATTTGTGTGAGAAAGTTGGAAAACAAGAATCTTAATAATTGATTTCTTGAGAAAGCTAGAGAAAGAAAGAAAGACAAAAGAGACAGGGTGTGAGGTTATTTGGTCACTTTTAATTGTTTTTACCTGAAGAAAGGGGAAGAAACATAAGGAATTGTCCTTCTGAACATGTTTAAGTTTCTTTTGTTAAAGTCCCTTAGGCTAAACTAAGTGAAAAATACAGTTCAGTGTTCTGAACTTTGTAGCTCTCTATGATCTCTTCATGTAAAAAATTTACAAAATGACTATACATACACATTAATTTTAATATGAAGTCTAAGAATAATATATTCAATCTCCCTTATATGAGTAAGATTGACAGAGAAAATAATCTCTTCTGAAAAATAAGGCTATACGATAAAAAGAGATATATACATTTAATCATTCACGAACTCAGCCACAAGCACATTAAGAGCAGGGACCTGGTGTAATATTTCTTGAATTCTCCCACAGCATCTGCTGATTACTGTTGTTCATTTAATCATGTGGCATATTCTTTTTTTTTTTTTTTTTTAACAACTAGGCCCACTATCAAAAGTACTGGGAGAAATGAATTCTAAATAAGGATCTGAATGGCTTTTTGGTTGATAAAATTCCCCCTAGATATGTACTTTTTTTAAATGTAACTATTTCTAGAAAAATAAAAGGGGCAAATAGAGATGACTCTTTAGATCGATGTCTGAACAAGATTATTTTATTGACATACTGTCTTGGCCCCAACAAAATCCATGCCCACATGCTAATAACCAGGCTTTAGAAAACATAACATTCACAATTATTCACTGCAAAACACCCTCTGTGAGTGAGATTTAGTATGGGTACCTACTTTGACACCTAACCCCGCCCCCCCCGAGAAAAACATATTTTTACAGGGAAAAAACTGCCCATTACCAGTCAAATCCTATCCCTTTCTCTTTCCTCCATCCCTCTCTGCTACCTCATCCAGCAAAACTTGTTCATCAGGAGTTTGGCCTTTGTTATCCTTGTTAAAACAAAAGCATAATAAACTTTCTCTACCACTAACTTAAGAAAGTAAAATTTTAAAACATGTTCTATAAAGGAAACCTAAAAATCTTTTATCTAGAAGAATTACTATGCTCATCTTCTATCACAGTCTAAATTAAAATTCTCTTTTAATCTTATAACTTTGACTTTGTATATGTTGACTATAACATTTAATATGCAATATTAAAATAATCACATTATTAATCCACAGTCCCACCCAGGAAACACTATAAATACCCAATTCTCATGTTTTAGGCCTTTCTCTAAAAATGACTATGAATAGCCATAATTTTAACCATATATCTTGAATTTTCATTCAGTCCCACATCTCCCAGTGTTATCCTTTTTTACTAGATGGCTCCAATTCTAGATAACTATGCCAATGAAGTTCTTTTATAGTTTTGGTGACATTTTTCAAGCTTACAGTATCTTTTCATAAAAAAATAAATTAGGGGGAATGGGACTGGACTTTACTAATTACTATCTGTTAAAGCCTATGAATTAGCTATTAAAGTCAATTGCTTGAGTCAGATTGATATAACCATCATTTCAAGCAATTCTGAGGTGACTGCAAAAGTCTCCTTTAGAACAACTGGCAACATTCTTGGTCATATTTTCCTTCTCTTGATTCCCAACTCTGTGGAGTTACATTTCTGCCTGTTAGGATAGGCCAATGATAAGATTTGTCTTGAACCAAGTTAAGTAATTAGCAAACAGGCTCTGGAGTCAGAATGCTTGGGTTCAAATCCCAGATATATAATCTTAGGCAAATTACCTCACATTCTGTCCTTCAGTTTCTCATTTGTAAAATGAGGACAATAAGAACACATAAGATTGTGAACTTAATTAGCTAAAATAAGAAAAGTACTTAGAATAGCGTTGGGCACACAAAAAATGATCAATAAGCATTAGCTAAATATTTGTATGCTCTTTTCTTCCCAAGACACTAAAGCAGTCTAAATATTTTCCACACACCCTGGAACAGCATCTTCTGTATTTGTAATAGTTTTCTTCCAGTCTACCATTTTTTCAAAGGAAACAACATTAATAGAAGGCCAAGAGTTTGTATCCCTTCTATGCTGATCAACTTTAGCTTTTTCAATAGGACTTTAACATTCATTTTCTAGTGCAAATATAGAAGGTCAACGTTAGACAACTCAGTTGTAATTTCTGTGGTTGTAGATATGTTTGTTGCGCACAATTTTCTGTGCCCTATCACATAATCTCTAGCTACATATCTTATTAGAGGCTTTGTTTTGTTAAAACTATAGGTTTGGACTTCCATTATCATAGCCAAGTGATGTTGCTTTCCTGGGGTAATGCAGGTGATGAGTTCACTCCCAGTATCTTATGGTGAGCTAGGGTGTGAATCAGATGGTAAGAAATGTACCATCAAATAAGTCCCATTCATTGTAAATCTAGCTCTACATTTGAACTTATTCAAGTGTATGTGTATTTCATACAATCAGGTACTCTTCCAGAAACCTGAGACTACAAAAGTTTTCAGAATTTGCAACACCATCAATTGAAACAGCTTAAGACAGCAGTATAACAGGTCTATAACAAAAATACTCCTGTGGCTTAAAAAGTTTAGTCAAAACTACCCAAAACATTTTAACTATGCAAGTCTCCCATTGAGCCAGTAAAATCAGGCATTCTAAATGTCCTTGATAAGAACATGTCATGTAGGATCAGTTTGATGGTAGAGTGGTTTAAGGAATGGTGGCTGGGGGAGTTAGCTTACGTAACATTCCCAGATCCTGGCTGGTCCAGCGAGTGCACAGTGACTATGTGCCATTGACAGTGTCATTAGCTCTGTTTGAAACACTAGAGATAGATCAGGTCTAGGGATTCCAAGAAAATGATAATTCAGTATCAATCTGTTAAAGTCCTACTCAAATGTACTCCCCACATTCAAAGGGAGTTTTCCAGTTGTCACTTTTCTGCAGAAACATCTGTTTCTTTCTCTAAATAATTTGAATAGAGTTCTCATTTCAAAAACTGGAAAAATATAGTGGGAAAATATAGCCTTGATAATGCTACCAATGATTAGAAATAATGTCTTCCTGAATGACTGGATAGTTGTTTTTTTAAAATGAGAAAGCTCTTCCTTGTTCATTCTAAAATAATAATAATAATAATAATAATAATAATAATATAATTTAAAAATAAAAAAAATAAACTGGTTACAGACCTAATCAACCTTGGGCTAAAATTCTAACCCCATTTCTTACTACTTGTGTGACTATGGAAAAGTTCCTTAATTTCTCTGGTCCTTTCTTTCTCATATGTAACTAGGATAATAATAGTACTTATCTCAAGGCCATTTGAGAATCTAATAAGTTGGATTGTCTAATGAGGATCCAATGAGTCAACAAATTTTCAGATTAGTATGCCCTTAAGTCATGCTTTTTAAAACAAACTCCCATATATAAGGGAGGGGTACCAGAGAGACAGAAAGAAAGAGACTAATTAATTATAACTTCCCTCTAGATTTCTATGTCTCTTGCCAGGATGATAAGCATATATTCTGACTTGGAGTATATTTTAATTGAACTATTCACTGAATGAATAAAAGGCCAAATCTCTGGAGTTTGTTTTATGTACACTAGTAAGTCACTGACCTGGCTCCATGTTTTATGTACCACATAAAACTACCACAGCTAATATGCCCTTTTCTAATTCCTGAGACTTTCAGTGTGGGTTAGAATTTAAATATTACCACATCCAAATCAGGACTTGGGTTTAAATGATAAGCATCTGAAACAGGCTAGGCCATCAATCAGATACAATATAATCATGAGTTTTTCTCATTGGTTATATTAATTTCCACCTTTTTGTCATCTTGATTTCTGGTCAACGGTGATATGTAAAATCAAATGAGAAAGAACATTGGGTAGGGTGGAGTGGGGGAGAAGACCATAATCCATGAATCCTGATTAAGGAGATAGTTTTCTCTCTCTCTTATTGGACAATTTAGTTTAGTTTGGTCTGAAAATGTAGATTGCAGATTTTGCTTATCCCATCTGCAGCAGAGAAGGGAGAAAAGAAACAGAAGTTCAAGGCTACTGGTTCTTTTCAATAAAACAGGAAGACAGAGCTGAAAATCCTTTTAGATAGCACCCATTGTGGATTATATATTTTGAATTATTATACTTTAATACCTAAATGCTCAGACTACTTTCTCTGCCTCAAATGCTTTGTTGTTTTTTTTTTTTCTTGATCTTCCAAGGTATAAATCATCAATGGAATAAAATCAAGGTCTCTTTCTGTTGTTGGATTCTACAGTGATCGAGTCAATTCTATATGACCTTGTCTTTTCCCAAGATTTTTCAATATTAAAATTTTTCAATTATTTAGATAGATAGATAGAGAGAGAGAGAGAGAGAGAGAGAGAGAGACAGAGAGACAGAGAGACAGAGAGACAGAGAGACAGAGACAGAGAGATAGAGGTATAGATTGTTTTTCACTTTAAAAAATTCTTATGGTAGTCTGATTGACACTGGATACACAGAATAGGGCATGGATGAGATAAAATTTCAGATATTTAACTTTTACAGTTTAAAAAATATTATATGCCAATTATAACATTATCTCCCTATTGAACTTAGAGCAGTAGTTCATCAAGAGTTTTTAGGAAGCAGTGTGTGAAAGCAGCACCTAACTGCCTCTGTACGGTCTGTAGGAGTGATCAGTCAGTGAAAATGGTGTTCAAATTTTCCTGGGCATAGTTGGAACAGAAGAGACCTTACTGCTGTTGTATTTATTCTGTCTTTTCCTCCTTCCATCTGAAGGTTTCAAAGCACTTATCTGTGTTTAGAAAAATAAACTTCAAGAATTAATAAATTTTAAATATTTTTTTTGTGGTTATTTGGCCTAATCTTTTTGGAATGCACAGTGATTATACATCCCACTTTGCTTAAAATGGTCCAGTTTATTCCTATTTTACCAATACTATAATTAATAGCATCCATTTTACTCTAAAACTTGTCTTGATTTTACAATAAATTATATATCTATTCTGGTTATGGGCCTAATCAACCTTAGGCTAACTTTTAACCCCATTTCTTACTAATTGTGTGACTTTGGAAAAGTTTCTTAATTTCTTGTGTTGCAGGAAAGTTGCAAAAATCAGACCGGCGAGAAACCAAGCGAGAGTTGAAGTCAGGTTTATTACGCCGGCGGTCCCAGAGGAGCTAGGGCTCTGAAGATCTGGGCCCAGAGCTCAGTTGCAACATTCCATATATAGAACTTATCTGGCATGGGCTGATTGGTTAATTTCTCCTCAGATGGTTACAAAGAGCGGGAGTTGCTATGGGTTTCAGGCAGCTACATTTGTTCTTTAGACAGAACAAGCGAAACAGAAGATGAGTCTTTAGTTAATTTCGAGTACAGCCTATTTAGCAAGCATATCTACAGAAGCAGAACTAAGAGCTGATTAGCCTTGTGAGTGAAAATTCCTCTTCACTTGGGGTCCCTTTTTTCTTATATGTAAATAGGATAATAATAGTACTTATCTCAGGGTTATTTGAGGATCCAATGAGTTAATTTATATAAAACTTAGAACTGTTTCAAACCCATAAAGTTAGTTATAAAAGTTGAAAAGTCTGAACCTTTTCACAGTTCACTCATCTAAACCATCCCCTCCCACACAAATCCAAAGAAACAACTGTATAAACAAATACATTAAGTTTACATGACTTTAGGCAACAAAGTGTCAATTACATTTGTAAGCCATATTATACAAATAAATAACACATATAAGTTGGCTTTACTTTAATACATACTTTCTTAGACATTATCACAAATGTTCTTCATGAAAATTAAATGAAGTAGGTATTATTAATGTTCTTATTTCTCAGTTAAGACACTCAGCAAAATTAGGTCTTACCCAGCGTCACAAAGAACAAATGCTAGAGCCAGAACTGGAGCCAAATTCTTCTCACTGTAAATGTCCTGTTTTGGGTACTGGCAAAGGATTAATGCTAAATTCTTAATCATTTTTATTTATTTTCAACTCAAGTTAAACTGTCAACTCAAATAACTAACACATTCTGGAATATGTTTATCTTGATTCCATTTAGGAGTTTTCACGCGGTATTATAATTGCGTATTTAATTGCCCACCTCTCCAACATAAATTCTTAAATTTTGTGAGATAAAAGACTATATGAATTTTTTCTTTATCTTTGGGTTTATAGTGCCCTTCTTAATTCCCGACACAGCGGACATTCAATAACTGTTTATTAAATTGAATAAAATCTGTTTCTCAAGCAGCATCTCAGAAAATATCAGTTAAAGAAATATGCTTCCTGACTGTCCAGTCCCTGTATTCAGGCTCCCTGTTAAATATTTTGAAAAGAAGAAACAATCCATTTACCTGTAAATGGATCTGAGGTGATTGATCAAGGGGATTCATGGAGAACTGAATTCATATCTCTTCCTTTTTGTGACATTTCTTCCTGGGTACTTTACTAAGATATGCTAGGCATATCCTTTGCTTTTCCCAAGGAAAACTCCTTACCTGGGATCCCTTGTCATAATATTATAACCTCTTAAAATGACAGTATATTATCTCAATATAAAGTACTTACTTTCTAGATCCATAAAGATTTTCATAGGCATTAGAATCATTACGACTCTGCTCCTGATTATCAATGGTATAATTAGATTGGTAAAAATCAGAGTCAAATTGTCCCAAGTTTGACATCCTGAAAAATAAGAGTGTTTTTTACCAGAAGTTTATCAGTCAATAAAACTTCTTTTGAATATTGCAAAGGTTAATTGACAATGTGATTATGGCTGGATCCCTATCAGAGAACAAGGTATTCTTTCGATGGGGTAGATTAAGAAATGGGGGAAGGATGTAAAAATGTATGCTAGAAAGTCATTTACAAAACATGTATCTTCAATTAATTTTTCTGAAGTTTCACTCACTAGGATTGTGACTTTGACTAAATTGACTTTAATTGCTCTGAAAGAACTATAATTCTTCCTCAAATACTTTATTCTCAGCAGTTTAAGGGAAAAAGTTTAAGACTTGGTACACATCTAGAAGGTTTCTCTTAAACAAAGTTATTCCCTCACTTTAATTATTACTTGTAAGGAATAATTTACATTTAACCATTTTACATTTACCAACATGTATATCCTTGTTGCAAAGTCAGGAGGCAAATGGCTTTAATATCACTTAAGTTAGATTTTTCCTGGAGCTTTAAACTGTGCTAACAGCCTCCCTGTTCCCTTCCGGCTGGATCAGGGGGGAAAAGGCTTAATTCTACAAAGGAAACTGTCTTTCTACACTTTGGGAAGTGAAGAAGATTTCGTGATCTTGATTTAAACCTAACCAATAGGAGTACCAGGGGGAAGAAGAAAGATTTGAGAGGAGGAAAAAGGGGGAGAAGAAAGTAATAACAAAGTAATGGTGGCTCTTTGGATGAAAACCAGAGAAAGAAGTTGAGAATATTTTCAATTGGACATATATGGTTATTCAACTCAAGATTTTAATCTTTGTTTTCCTTTGAGAAACTTTTTTATTTCAAGAGTCAGTTTTAAAATCACTAGCAGTAATCTATGTAATTATAAAAATCTATGGACTATAATAAATTTCAAATGAAATTGCAGAAACAGCCTTAGCTTTAAGAGCCTCATTAATCAGAAATATTCAAGTAACAACTGTCAACTATATCGATTTTTTTTCAGTTCAGTGAAATACAGAAAGCTTTTCTAAAATTAGGTGTAATGATTCATACATCTGATTTCATTAGTAATCTGTATAACAGTAGCTATAAATTGTGTAAACTAAAATCTGGATTAGGATAATGTTATATTTCTTAACAACTTATAATTGAATAAATTTAAAATTTAATAGCATAACTTTCTCTGTCCATTAAAATATATTATTATAAAACACTGAGAATAATTTCACTGGAGAATACACTTAAGTTTTCATAACATGCAAAGCTTTACGTAATATGACTATTGGTATTAGAGTCCTTACATAACCCAACTTTACATTTGTTTAAATGTCAAGTTTTTTAGAAGGATCAGACACATACCTTTGTATTATTTTATGTGGAAAGATCTTCCAACAAATGTAGTGTTACTTGAGAAATTTATAACAAATCAGTTTGAGAAAAGATGACCTGCTGGCTACAAATGTTTCTAAATTTGTACTCTGACACTGAACAGATGTCTGCCAAAAGCCAAAGCCAAACACAGTATCTTATAACACTTGTTAAAGTTTACAAACACAGGGAAAGGCATAGAGTCATACAATTTGATAAAGTAGAATGGTACATTCAGTTTCCCTGTGCACATGTCCCCTTAAATTCTGATTTAGGATTACTTACCTAAAGTAAGTAATGGAAAGTAAGAGGATGCCCTTCTGCTTCACAGCCTGTAAAAGTATGTTCAGTTTACAGAAGATTTCCTAATAATATGCAGTAAAAATCAATATATGGTACATGATCTTAACATGATGACTTTAGCAACAATCTCATAATAAGGTATTGTTAATTTTATCCAAATCTAAACTATTCAATTTTTATAAATAACATTTAGGAAGGCTACTTATGATCTACCTCTAAGTTTTTCCCTGCTTTTTACTTCTCCAGCAGAGCCCAAGGTGGATATGAGTATTATCTAGTAATATTTTTCACTTCTAGGGCATATTATGTCCATTTTCAAGGCAATCCTGAACATTAGAAGGTATCAGACCCATTTCTACCCCAGGAAAATACCTGAGTTGGTTTCTTCTGTATCTTTGAGTCACTTCCAGGAGTCTTCTTCTTCGTTCTCATCCAGGTAACATGGCTAATACTCCCAATTTTTACCTGGATCTGGTTGTTTGTCCCTAACATTAGCCTCATGGCTAGAGGTCAAGTTCTCCTGTGATCTGCTTCATGCTGATTCTCCTCCTTCTAGGACTTGAGACTTCCCATGTATCCAGAGCTCAGTAACTAAAATCTGTTGTTCAAGGGTAGATTATTTGGCCTTTCGGAATTTTCAACAAAAGTCAAAGGCAGAATAGCAAAGTAATTTTTTTCCACATTGTTTAAAAACATTTGGAATTTGAATTTCTTTAACTCAAGCTGTCCTTTACTAGGTGACTAGTCAGGCAACAGTGGATCACACATTTACTGAGGATCTATTATTCAGTATTAGACTATATTCTAAATGTCATAGTTATGAGGGGGACAAATTAAAAGGACCTGCATTTTAAAGAGATATTTTAGCGCTGATTCTGCTAACAGGCATTGTTCCATAAACTTTAGGTTTAAGTCATTTAAGTTTTGCAACAACTTTATTATCACATTTTATAGAAAAAGTAATAGAAATTTAACTAACTTGCCTAGGTGAAAGCTAGTAGGTGGAAGAGCCAATGTTTGCAACCTGGTAGACTCAGCCCAGAGCCCACATGATTATCTAATAATTTCAAGAATTAACCCAAATCTATGAAGATGTTAGCATATGCTGTTAAGATGGAGATTACAAAGGGGAGAGGAAATGGGCATTTAGCAAAGGGGAGAGGAAATGGGCATTTAGCGAAGAGTCTTCAAAAGACTCTTTAAGAAGGTCTTTTGGTTTGAGACCTGATTGATGAGGAGAAGAAGACAGTTAAAAGACTATGTGAAAAGAAATTGAAGCAAATGCTCTGAGATGGCCAGGAATTTGGCACTTTGTGCTTTAGAAAGAAAGCCACATGATAGTGATTTTAAATCAGGAAAAAGTTGAAGGAGATGAGGTCAGAGGCATAGGCAGAGGCCAGATCATAAAGGCCATGATAAGGAGTCTAGGTTTTATGATAACTAAAATGAGATACCACTGTGGGGTTTAAGCAATGGGATGACATGATAAATTTTGACAGAAATAGAAGAGTAATAGTGTTTAGGAGGTTGTTATGGCAGTAACATGAGATACAAATGGCTTGGACTAGGGTAGCAGTGGAAATGGGAGAACTTAGAAAAGTCTTGGGCTGAGGAAAAAGTGAATTGAAAGGATCAAGACTGGAGCAGGCATATAAGGAATAAGAGGAATTTTCGTTCCCAGAAAATGATAAGTTGTCCGAACTGGAGAAGGTCTAATGGAGATAGGACTGAAGAGATAAAAAAGATATGTGGAAAGAAAACTTTATAGAGTTCGTCTTCTATTGGATAAGAAGAAGAAGAGAAGGACAATTAATGAGGATGATCTTTAGAATTCTGTCAACTTCCCTGTGCTAATGTATTAATGTTATAAGAAAAGGCCAAATCTAGATCATATTATATATTCCTTCTTTCCAAATTCTGTATGTGAAGACATAGGTCCTGTAACAGCAAAGATTCAGAATGTATTATTTTTTTCTAACATATAAATTCAATGAAAAGTTTACCAAAGATAATATTTTTAATCTTAAGTCCATTTAGTTAAATTTTAAACTTTGTAATTTCGTACTTTTCACCTTAGTTTTCCTTTTCTAAGCCTCAAGTAAACCATAAGCCATGAAACATTCAAAGACCAAATAACTCCATTCTCCTGACCAGTGCCTTAATGGAACATTGATATGTACACTAGAATATTTTGAAGCTACTCTATATATGTAACATTATAAATATATAACATATGCATTTAAATGTGGTTTTTATTTTCATTAATGAAGCATCCAATTATTATTATGTTTCTTGAAGGATAGAGTTTAAATCAATAGTAGAGTTGCAGTTTCATCAATTGATTATTTTAGTTAATCTACTTAATTATTTCTGGGTTCTGAACAATCAAAAAGACTGGATAATATGAGTAAGGATTCTCACTTGATGTAAAGAGTACCATGTTCTACTCACACTTTGCTTTCTTTTCCTTTCTTTTCTCTTTTTCTCTTCTCCCTTCCTCTATCCTTTCCTCACTTTCCTGTGCTCTCTCTCTAAACTCTTTCCTAAGGTGATCTCATCCGTTCCTTTGGCTTTGTATACCATCTCTATATAGACAGTTCCTAAAGTCACATATGCAGCCCTTATTTTTCTTCATAGCTGCTTGATATATCATAGATGTTTCAAACTTATAATCTAAATAGCTTGTTAAAAATCTCTACCGTCTCAAATCCAGTGTTCTCTTCTCCATTCCAAGAAATGGCATCACAATCCACTCGTTCACTCAAATTAGAAATCATCTCATCTTTCAATGAATTTTATCAATTCTAATCTTTAAAATATATCTTTCACTAACCAGTTCTCTCCATCTCTACTGCTATCATTCTGAGTTAAGCCACTGTATTCTCTCACTTATACTTCTGTTTGTAATTAATCAATAAAGAAAGATAACCCTTTTAAAGAGGCAGATTAGTAGACGGTGATAAATTTTACATAATAAAGACTGCAAAGTTATACCTTTATAATGGCACAGTGACTTGCCAAAATCAGGAAAAAATTTCTTCTGTAGTCACTGACTGCAATTATCAGTGGTAATAAGGAAAAGAATCTCCACTTGTAATTTTTTTATACTCTGGTGATATGTTAAGTGTTGAAGAGACTGAGCTGATCAACAGCTATATCTGAAACAATTTGCCCTGTACCTGGCAAGTGTGTGTGTGTGTGCATGTGTGTAATTAAAGAATTAATTGCTTGATGGATGGATGAATGAACATTACTTTTAATTTTATATATTCGGAAACTTGTATTTCAATTGCTGTATATCAATCTAAGAATCATACAAGATTATGACATCCATTACTGCAATCCTTTGATAGAAAAATGGAGGCTCAGAGAGGTTAAGTGACTTGTTCAAAGTCACATACCTAGTATGTGACAGAACTTAATTTGAGACAATAATTCTCTCACTCAGCCCAGTTTTCTTTCACTACTCACACTTTTCTTCCAGACGATTACCTACGGCTGTTCAAAATACTGATGTTAGAAATGTATCTGTTTGGAAACATTAAATAATATTTATTCACAAACTCCAAAAAATATTTTCAGCTAAACAGAGCTGCCAGTGAACCAAGAGAAAATACGTCATCATTTTCTACCTCTGCTCACAGAAAAATGGGTTGTCACCAGTGTTTAGTAAGTAATTACCTCAGCAGTCTGTATTGCAATTTAATGTACACTGATTCCATTGTATCTATTCTTCTGTCTTAGTAAGACAGAAAAAAATACAATACATCTGTGCTCCATTACTTTTTTAAAATACATTTGGTCATGCTTCTTTTCTCTACATGCTTCTTTTGTTAATACCACATAAGATTTGTTCCTGATAGTCTGACCTTTAAAGACTCTACTATTTCTATTTTATAAGCCTGAGACTGCAGTCCTGAATACTACATAGTCACTTGAAAATGGGCATAAAATTCCATTTCAGTGCATGAATTTTAAAGACCATAATGTATTCTATGGTAAGAAAAGAATTAAATGACAGGGTTTTTCTTCATTAATACTATGATAATTATCTTTGAGTTTTAATTTGGCTATTTCTTGTTAGCTTCTATTTTTGCCTTGGAAAAAATTGGAATCTAGCAGTATATTACTAAACATTTATGAAGTTTTTAAGTTTGGTAATAACTTAGTAAAAATATAATTTGTATCTGAAATTATGAAAATTGATATTAATAGTTGTACATTTTTAGTAATCTTATGATTATAATAATCATTTTAAAATGTAATAATAAATCTCATTTAGCAGTCTGATATAACTAATTTTTCTAGGAAATATTTCTTAGGAATTATATAAATTTCTCCATGAGTTATTTAACCACATAGATCCTCATTTCCCTCCTTTATAAAATAAGAATAAAATTTATACCTACCTCTTAGGGATTATTTATTTTATCTTTATCTCCTCAATATAATTTTATTTTTCATGTTTCATAATACCTAGATTATTAATCAATACATATATATACATATATATATAACTTACACACATGTATATATTTGTGTACATAAATACATTTGTGTACAAATATGAGAATTAGACAAGATTTTGCAACAGAAACAATTAACACAGTAGGGGCAACTAGTAAATGCTTGGAAAATGTCATCTGTTATAATTCTACTTCTAGGTGAAAGCAACTTGAGATCAATAACAGATGTCTGTATTTACCCTTGTGTTCCTTATTTACAGTCACTCAACACATAGCTTTTAGTGAATTCTATTTTGATACAATATAAATCTATATAAAAAATCCATCTTACCAAAAGAAGATGGAGAGGGGGAGGAGTATTAACAAATGCTGTGTCATGTAAACTGATTAGACGTAAAATATTTATTCAGCATTCATCTCTTACTTTTTAACAAAGAAATAAAATTTCTAATTATAGAAAGGCTAAGAACAGACTTTATTGCCAAGATGCCACTTACTTTTTTCACCAAACTCCCTTAAATACCAGTCAGTAAAGATGAAATTATAAATTGGCTATATTTCTTTCAGCAAAGAAAGGCAAAATTTTTCCCAATGCTCTGCCATAATTATACCTTTGTAATTACATCATTATTAAGATTTTTTTCAAGGTATTCCAAGTATAATAAATATTTTATTATATTTAGTGTGTAAAAGTAGTTATAGCAATTTGGGGGAAATGACCAGATAAGGTATATATTTAAGTGTAGTTGTCAATATAGAAATTCTATTTAATAAGATGGTATCTCCACCTTCTTTTGGCACTACGACTTCACTAACTACTTACAGCCTGCAGTTTTAACTTAATGAAACATTTACTCAAACACTGCTGTGACATAGAGGAGCACTTTTAAGGATAACTCTGTACTTTGCAGTACTTATATTTTAATTTATAATTATGGGCTAGAGAAAGTAGTATGCAGAACAACAAAATAAAATTTCAAGTACAATTTTACTTTCTTTTAAAAAAAATGTTAGACATCTGGTTTAAAATGGCAC